GTGACACTGACTTCCCTGAGCCTTCCTTGAGTCTCTGTGGTGGGAAGTAGGTTGTTTAGCTCTGGTTTACTCTTATCCCAATGGCTTCATCTGCCATCTCTTCATTTGATGTACTCTCCTAGTGAAATTTTATCCAGTTGTCATGAAAACCAACTATCAGTGCCACTCAAATCCAAATCTGAGTGTCACACCCAAGTTTTTAACTGCTTTCTGGACATTTCCATCTGGAGTTCAATGCTGTCTTCAACCTGGCTCACTTATTTTCTCCCCATCCTACTTTCTTACTTATCATCTGCTCTCTTCCTGTATTACCAACCTGCTCTTTACCCTCAGTATCCAGTTGTTACTAAGTTTTGTCCACTGTAATATTTTTTGAGATTTTCCCTCTGATTCCTTAGCTGCCAATGCCTTACTTCAGCTTCACATAAGTTGCTCATCCTAGAGTAACTCCGTTGTATATTTTCCATTTGCCCTCCTGGAACCACGCTCTTCCTCCTCTGCAATCCCACTGTGCTCTCTGCCCAGGAGTCTGACCTTTATGGCCTGCTCCTCTAGGACTCCTTGTCCACTGATGTCTACTAGGCCCAGCCAAAGGGAGGCCCTGGCAGAAGACGGGAACATAGGAGGACAGTGAGGACAGCTTATTATCCTATTTTCTCCCCTCAGGGTCACCACAGTTTGCCTGCAGCCCTCTCGTGAAGACCACAGGTCCTATTGGATGAGGGCTTTCTCACAGGTATCCCTACTCTGACAGGTGGCATTCTATTACAGGTTCTTACTCCTCTGGCCTACTTGAATGATTCTCTTCCCTTGCCCTTTTAATCCTAGAAATGGTAAGAACTCCCAGCAATTCCTTTTTCCAGGTTATTCCACCATCCTTTTTGGTTTCCCTTAAACCTTCTCACACGTTTGTAAACAATATCTTTGTTTAACTCTCCTCAATAATCCCATTTAATTGGGCCATCTGAGTGACCCTGACTGATGCAGTGACACACAAAGCCCTCTATATCTGATCTGGTTTCTCATCTGCACACGTCACTAGCCCTTCACTAACTCCACTATCCATATATTCGGCCACCCTGGCATATGCTGTTCCTGAGACATGAAGTGTTCTTTCACAATTCATTGTGTTTTCACGTGATTTCTCCATTCCCTGGAATGCTTTTCTTCCTTCTCCCTCCCTTTGTTTTTCCCTACCTGAAAAACTCCCATCTACTCTTTTAGACCAAGCTCAACCATTACCTCCCATTGGTAGATTATACGGTTGTCAAAATAATTTCTGCCCCTCCATGCAGGCCCATCTCTACAGGTCCTATGCCTGATAGAGGACTATGCCTCCCCTCCCATTGATATCAGGCTTCTCTATGTGACTGGCTTTGGTTAATAAAACGTGAGTGGGAGCAATGCCTGCAGTTTTCCTTTCAGGGGTTTTAAGAAACATTGTATGGTCCTGCCATCTTTCCTTTCCCTCTGCTGTGAAAATGGTAATGACTCCGATAGAGGTCCTCCTCCAGCCTTGATTCTGCAGGTAGAGCAGAGCTGCATTTGATCCACCGAGAACTGATTATTGACATGGATATGAGTGAGGAAACAAACAAACAAAACCCCCTCACACTTGTTTTTTGTAAAGCACTGAATCTTGAGATTGTTACCATAGCATTTCTTGGGCTAGGCTGACTGTTTCACTTCCTCCATAAAGAGAGAGTAACACAGAGATTTTTCTTAAAGAATTTTCACCTTTCATTATTTTATAATAATGTGAAAGAGGTTTGGTTAAGTTAACAAGGGATTTTAAAATAAATCATTCACAAACAGCATAGAACACTAAGCATTCATCAAGAATTATGTTTGAAGAATATTTAATTGTGGAGGCATTGTTCATGATATGTTATTAATTGAAAAACACTTTACCCAAAATATGTGCCATATGATTCCAACTGTGTAAAAGAAAATGAATAAAATGTTCATTTGCTTTTTATAGTTTTCTGCATTTTCCAAGTATTGTATAATAGTTGTACATCACTTTTATATTTGGAAATAAAATATTTTTTGAATATTACTTTCTAACACCATCCCCAATTTTCCTAGGCGAAACTTAGTATGTGCTGTTCTTTATCACTTGTTTACTGATGTTAAATTTTTGCCTGTAAATCTCTTCCCTTAAACAATAAAAAACATACCTATCTCATAACATTTTTGGGAGGATCAAAAGAGAATATTCATGTAAAGCCATTAATGTAATGTCTTGCATATAATAACCACTCAGTCAGTGCTTTCTGTTTTATGATCCTACTTTGTGTTTTGGAAGTTTTTAGAAATGGATTTGCTTTTTTTGTGCAAAAGTTGAGTGGCAGAATGACTTTTGGGGTAATCACTTATTTCCTTTGCCCTTAGAAGGTTGTCATCACTTGCATGTGAGCCCCCATCTTCTTGTTCACAGGGGAGGCTAAGGCTGTGACTATGAGATTTGAAGAATATTGTAAAAGGTTGAAAAGCTTTTTTTTTTTTTTTTTTTTTTGGTGAGGAAGATTAACCCTGAGCTAATCTGTTGCCAATCTTCCTCTTTTTGCTTGAGGAAGGTTGTCACTGAGTGAACATCTGTGCCAGTCTTCCTCTATTTTTTTGTATGTGGGATGCCCTGATGAGGATTATTTTAGGCTGGTTACTTTTAAAACTGCAGATGAGAAGGGGGCTGGTTACCTTTAATAAAAGCAACTCTGAGGAGCAGAGTTTGCTTGCCCTTTGTTGGGAAACATTTACATTTGTAAGGGAAACCTCCATCTGTGGGGGATGTTTCCCTCTTTGCACCAGGAGGAAGCAGGGATGACCTTATCTCTGGAAACTCTTAATGGGGAAGGCAAGAACTTAAGTTGTTTACTGTCTGGCAACCTCATGTAACTGACACCCCCTCCCCCCCCCAACATCCTCGTTCGTCTTTAGCTGAAGATAAGATTTAAGCGGTGGCTTCTGCCATTTACTCAATCCGGTTTGATTCTTATCTAAAAGTTATAGGACCACCCAATAACCAGAACCTACCAGCACTGATATCATTTTAATAACGTTTTTACATATTTTTTCCTTTGTCTTGTAAAGAGATAACTCACATACCTATGTCTTAAATTTAGCCTTACTCTCCACCCATGTTTGCAACAGCAGCAGCAGCTCTGACTGCCCATGGGTCCTGTCCCCACACAGCTGCTCTGACTGCCCATGGGTCCTGTCCCCATGCTATTCCACACTATTCTCTAAATAAAGAGCACTACTGCCAGATCTTGAGAGTCACAGAAATCTTTCTTTCAACTCCTGGCTCACCGAGCCCACATCACCACTACAGCATGGCTTAACAAGCAGTGTGTAGATGAATGGTGTGTAGGTCCATGCTGGGGATCTGAACCTGCAAACTCCGGGTTGCCAAAATGGAGCACATGAACTTAACCACTATGCCACTGGGCCAGCCCATAAAAAGCTGTTCTGAAAAAGGGGTATCCGTCTTCCTTGGAGTGCCTTAAGAGTTTCAGAACCCAGATACTTGAATACACACTTATATATCTTGTTCCCAACCTGCTCCATTGAAAGGTGCTACTAGTGTAAAAGATATGAAAAATATATAATTCATGAGAGATGAATCAAAATCAATCTATTTTTGCCTTCAATTGTCTCTTAAAAATGTATTCAGAGAGGGTAGCTTTTTTCCTGCCACTGGATTACTTTTCCTCTCAGTTATAAATAATGGATATTTTAAGTGTAAAAACATATTTTCAATTTAGAAACTTTCAGTGTCCAGTCCAAGACATTAGTCAACACTTCAGTTCTCATTCAAAGGAAAGGCTTCTCCGTGCCCTCTCCTAGTTAATGCTGAAGGCCTGATGTGGCAGATGGCCCAACTTTGGGGAAGGGGCTATGCTTGTCTTCTCCTCTCACCTTTGCACATGCTGATTGCCTGCTTTTTAGACACCACCAGGATTGGAAGATGGGAGGGAAGAAGAGGTCAAGGGATAGCATAGAAAAGTTCCTACTATGTTGGTGTCTGGTATTGTCTCTGGATTTGAACTCTCTACCTGTCAGAGGTTTAAAATGAATGCTTTCCTTGTGGAAGCTTCTTAGGGTTTCACTGGAGCTCCTTGCTGGGCTTCCCTAGACCAACTCCCACAGCTTGTATGAGGCCTTTGATTAGGTCGGCCACTTCTCTCCATCCTCTGCTTCTCTGTGGTCCACTCCACACACAGGAGTTCCCTTCCCTTCCCTGGGTCCTCTTGGGCCAGGCTGATTCTCCATGTGGCCCAAATTTGGTCCATGGGAAAGACTCATACACAACTCACTTCACCGTGGATGGTGGTCACGTGGTTATTTAGCAAACGGGGTCCTGTGTTCAGTGTTCTTCAACTACGGGGAACCTATATCAGGTTCTCAAAACGCCTCAGTTAAAGTGCTGTCCTCACTAGGCTTGAAATGAGGGGGCAGGCATCTCCCAGCCTTGCCTTTTCCAGAGGTTCAGTTTCACAGCTTAGATTTCTCCAATGATCGCCTCTTAGAAATTTCTCTTCACATTCTAACTATGTTTTAGATTCTTGATCGAGCTGAGGGATCCCAACGTGGTAGAAATATTTGTTGAGCATTTCCTTGTGAATTCTGCATTTTGGCCTGGAACCTCACTTTGGCATGCTAGGATGATTGTGTCTTGGTGGCGGGGTGGACACTTCAGTGCTGACATGTTGTCATATTAATTTCAGGAAACGGTGGAGCACACCAGCAAGACACACAAGTTGAGAGGAGCAGCACTCTGGCAATGCTTGGAAAGCCAATGGAAGGTAGGACATTTAGTGATTAAAGCACATATTTCAGAAGTCAGAGAAGCCTGGATTTACCTCTCGGCTCTTCCACTGACTGACTGGAACTTTGGGCAAGTAAATCAACCTCAGGTTTCCCATTTGTAAAACTGGGATAATAATAGTGCCTGTCTTATGGGCTGTTGTGAGGATTAAATGAGATAACGCATGTAAGAACTTAGCATGGTGTCTGGAATATGGCATGATAATAAGCCAATAAATGTTAGCAAAATATCATGATCATGTGGCTTTGTGACTTTAAAGCTGTTCCTGGTAGTATCCTAGAGGCTCTCTGCCTCTAAAAGCCACCCTTTCCTCATACTCCTTTCTGGCCCTAACTATTATCTGTACTTGCCATTACACAGAGGGAAATTGTCCCTCCAGTTTTCAGCCTCAGGTAATACCTGGGGGTTGGTTCAGGTAGAGTCTGAGGACTGGTTTAGTATCTCAAGACCATAATCTCCTGGTGACCACAACTTCCTGTCTGAGCCTGCCTCCCTGTCTGTAATCCATGTAATTCTCTTCTCATCCTTGTCGCTAAAATGACCTTGGATAACTTTCCCACTCTTCTTTTTTGCATTCTGTCTCACTGTCTAATACAATGCCAATTGATTTAACTAAGATGACAGCTTTGTCATTTGGAAAAAATTTTTTACATGTTTCCATAATGCTCTTTCTAAAGCAAAAAGCAATTTTGTCATTAAATCCTCAAAGTTCTCTTTAGTTCCATTTCAAGATGGCTTTCCCAGAGCCAGATGAAACTCTTCAAAATGACTTCTGACAGCGATCAAATGACAGTGTCATTCCTGCCACCATGTTGTTTCTAATCTACAGAGAGAGAGTGACAGACATTAAAGAGAGATTTTAACTACCTTCACCAGAGAATTGTTAATTTTGTAAGGTTATCAAAACCCCCCAAATTAGCATTTTGAATTCTTTCTTTTAAAATTTTCACTCTCCAACTTAACACACACTTTGGGAGCAAGGGTTATATTAGTTTCTTATGTCCAAATAATCAAGCCTAAACATCTGTTGACACTAAATTGGACCACCCTATATTTGGTTAGTGGTATGGCAGAGGAGCTCATTTTTATATTAAAAAAACATGTCTGATGGTTAATGGATGTGATGGTTTGTCTTTTTCTTAAACATCTGAGAAAATGCCTTTATGCTACTGTTCCTTTTCAATTTTAGCTGATAGAAATGTGCAATTAAAATTTTACTTGAGTATTTAAAAAATACACTTAAGATTAGTATCCACACAACAGACCAAGCTATTTGGAATTTTTCTCTTCAAGTGTTTTCTCCATTGTTTCATTGATGCTGTAGGAAAAAACCTGGGCATCTGGGTGCACCACACTTGTCTCTGCTATCTGGCTCAGTGTAATCTACTAATGAAAAACTAGGCTATGATGGTACCACTACTTTCATAGAATTTCACAGAGGAAGATTAATAGGATTTATGAATATTACCATCTTGTATAGACTAGTGAATCTTTTATAAATGAATGACACTCATCTAGAAAAAATGTTTAACTTCATTTTGTCTAGTAGTGTGAGTAATGCTCAAAAGTCCCTAATATTTTGGAAATCTGATTTCATCCAGTGAGGAGCTCTAGGGTTCTACCCATACGCTTGTGTGTCTCAGGCTTGTGGGTTTCTGCGAATGAAGAGAGGCAAAACAAAGGCTGCAGAACTAAGTTGGAGGTAACATAATAGTTAGAAACTTTTCTTTCAAGACACTAGTAGTTAGAATGATTAAAGAATTTTTCTCTATGATTTCATTTCACAGCATTTCACCATGGGTACATAGGTATGGTTTTTGTTGTATTTACCCTGCTTGAGTTTTATGACACTTCTTGAATCTGGGCTTGAAATTTTCCTTATTTTTGAAAACTTCTCTGACAGTGTCTCCTCAAATATTGCTTCTGTCCCTTTTTTGATGTATGTGCCCCTGGGACTCCAATTATGTTCACACGTCACCTTTTCATTGTGTCCCTATGTCTCTTACTCTTTTTTCTATCATTTCTAATCCCTTTTATCTCTGTGCTTCAATCTGTGTATCCAGTGCACTAATCTTTTCTTCAGCTGTATCCAATTTGATGGAAAGGAGGCTTTTTCTGAGCAATTGTACTACATGTCAGGCATTATTCTATGCATTGGGGGTACATTAGTGAGCAAAACAGACAAAATCCTATCCTTGTGAAACTTACGTTCTTTTGGAGGGAGACAGACTATAAACAAAAAATATCATAAATAAGTATACTGTGTAGTATTTAGAAGGTGTTAACACTATAGAAAAATAGAGCAGGGTGATTGTCTCAAGTCAGGCCTCATCAAGTGGTGACATTTGAGCAAAGGCTTCAAGGAGATGAGAGATTGGATGACAAGGGGAAGGGGGAAGGCCAATGCAAAAGACCCTATATTTTAACAGGATCATTGTGGCTGCTATTGAGAATAGATTGTAGGAGACAAGACTGGGAAAAATAGATTAACTAGGGGCTCCTGGCTCTGACGAAATGATCCTGGCTCTGAGCAGGGTGGTGGCAGAATAGGTAGTGATAAGGGACTGGACCCTAGAAATATTTTGATTGTAGGATCAACAGGATGTGCCAATGGACTGGATGTGTAATGTGAGACAAAAAGAGATGTCAATGTTGACTCCAAGCTTTTTGCCAGTAGCTGAGATGGGGAAGAGATGTGAAGGGCAGTCAAGAGTTGCATTTGGGCATAGTTATAAGACATTCAAGTGCCGACATAGTTAGGCAAATCACCACACTCTTAACCGCTTTACTCAGTTTTATTTACTCATTGATCTTATTTTTTTCATGTGTTGTTTATTATCTGTTTCTCCTATTAAAGTATGAGCTCCAAGAAAATGGGCATCTTTTCCAACTTGTGTACCATTGGATCCTAAAATGTTGCCTGGCAAAAAGTAAATGCTCTATAAATATTTGTTGATGAATTAACAAATGCATGTAGTTTTCCAAATTAGAAAGTAGGAAGATGGATATTTGCCATGGCTAGTTCTTCAGGGTAGTTGTGAGGGTTATATCATGTAAAAACATGTAGATTTTTAAGCATAATATAGACGGAAGTTCTCTATATGTCTGTGACTTTTAAAATTAATGTTGACATCTCTATGACTTGGGAAGCAGGCTGGCATAGTGACTAAAAGCCTGGCTTTGGAGCCAGGGAGACCTCGGTTTGAATCTCAGTAGAGCTATTTTCTAGCTGAATGACTTTGGGAAAATTGCTTAATTTCTCTGTGCCTCCCTTTCTTCTGCAACTTGGGAATAATAATATTATCCCTACAGGTTTGCTGAGACTATTCAATACAATTATGCTCAGAAAGGGTGTGGGCGACATAGGAAGTGCTCAAAAGTCAGTTACTGTTATTATTCTGTCTCCTAGTTGGTATAAGTGACTGAATATTCACAGCGTTTTCAAAGGCCTCATTTTATCTTATGCTGTTTTACGTCGTCTCTGCACACTTCATGTCTTCTCCAATGCATTTTGTTTTTTCTGTTCAATACCTTCACTTTTATCAGCCTTTTCTTTCCCAAATTAACTCCATACGGCACATTTTTGGATGGTGATATTTTCAAAGGATTAGTAGGAAGGATAGTTAGGGGAAAAAGTAGCCAGATATGTTAGGCAGTAAAATTGAGCAAAAGTCAGTTACCTGACTTTAAACTCAGGATTAGGGATTTTCATTCCTGAACCAGTAAACATGCTGGAAATTTTATCTTAAGGAGAAAGACGTCCTGGAGGTGAAGTTCTGTCCTTTTGCTTTACACGGTTACGGATGGAAAATCAGCAAGGTGCTACCATAACCCAGAAGGACTGAATGCAACATGCATGTTCTCCCTGTGAGTGTGTAACTTGTGACCCTCTTCATGCTTGTTCCCAGAGGGCTGTCTCACTAACTGTCTTACACACCAGTGATGAAGGAGTGAGCGGAGGTGAGAGGAGGAGGGCAGGAAGTGAAGGCTGATATACTGTCAAGGATTAACCTGGCCTGAGCAGGGTTCTTCCCCATTGGGAGTCTGCCTGGAAAAGCGCATTAGAACTTTCTAGAGGATGAGCTATAAACCACCAGTTATAGCTGTATTAAACCTCTAACGACCACCTCCAGTGCCGCTTTTGTCGTTCTGAAGGGAAGTTATTTTTGTTTAAAATTTGGGGTAGTAAAATCATGCACACTGCAGTGTGTACATGAAGCAGTAAAACGAACTTCAGCATATAACAACTTGGTAGAAAGTGGTGAATATCAGACAAAGTATTTGGCAACTTTTAAGAAGGTGTCAGTCATGGGGCTTTAGAATTTAAACAAAAAAGTGCTCTGTCCTGCAAATGGTATTCTGGTGAACTCGCTAGTGGGATTCTGAACATTTCTCGGGTGCCAAGGAAGACAGGATATGGGGGCTGGGCCAGTACACACAGCTGGGACGATGGTGCTCCTGGTGGGGGCTGGCTCCAGGGCTCGTGGGTCTGCCTGTCTGTCATGTCCTGCATGGTAATGAAGTTGTCTAGACACAGTGAGGTCAGCTAAGGTGTGGTGGCTTTTTATACAGCACTGCGGAGTGATGCAACAGATGGCATTATGCCAGAAGACAGAGTTCCTGCCCTGAGGCGCTGATGCCCTCGGAGGGGGGCACAGGGAGCAGAACAAACACCAGCTTGCCCTGCGCTCATTAAAGTCAAAAAACCTGACAGGGAATATGGAGATACAAGGTGATACAAGGAGAGAATTTTACCTTCAACTCTGAATCTCTTAACTTCTCTTGTCTTGGGATAGATACTCAGTGTTACTGGCATAAAATAGATAAAAGAATAACTGTTCTGTTGGCTACATAATTGGGCACTGGAACTTGTGACCCCACTTGTCCTTTTCTTTCCTTCCTCTGACCCTAATCTACTCCATTTTACTAAGGCAAAGGCAAATCATATGTGGGTCCATTAATTTGGGTACAGGTAGTTGGCAGTCTGGCATTTCTGCCGTTTACTTAGGACAGTGATGACTGACTTTTGGGGGTTTCTGAGTTCATGTTGTTTGGTTAGAAGAGAAGAAAATGATCATTATGCTGCTTCCTCCTAAGGAGCTGAATATAGTCCACTTGGGATCAAGGATCTATGGATGTGCTTAGAGTTGTGTGAAGACCCTGAAATTACGCACACTATTTCAACCTATGGGTATGTTTGAGCTTTTCTGGAGTGTTTTTAGCTTTCAGCATATTTTCAAATGTGTCCACAAACCTATAAAGGTTAATGACTCTGGTTTGCATACCCCTACGCACTCCTTTCTGCCTGCCCAAATCCTACCCACTTCCAAAATCAAATCTCGTTGTCCATGAAATTTCCCTAACTATTCCGGCTCACAGTGAAAACTCCCATCCCAGAATGTTAATGAAAAAAAAATCACACTGTGTTAAATGCCCCCAAAGAGAGTTACTGATGTGTTAGGGGCATGATGGGGGGTGCGGCATGATCGGGGGGTCAGGAGAGGCTTCCTGAGGAAGTGATGCTGGAGCTGAATTCCAGAGGGACGGCAGCAGGGAATGAGGCAAAGAAGGAGGGTAAAACGTAGATGCTTCATGCATGTGTTAAATTGATGAAGAAAGTTGATTTGGTTATGATTCTTGGAAGAAAATTCTCAGATATTCTTCATGATAATGGTCATTTCACGGGTCTGGGAACTATGGGTACAGCCAGAGAAGCTTGCCTAGAATTCTCTGTGTGGATTCTGCCTACTTAGGGTACCATCTCACTCTGAAATCAGAACTATTTTATGTGACTGTGGTTTAAGTTGGTAGTTTCTTTAGATAAATGCCCAGAATCCTGAGATTCTGAATTATTTCAAGGGATGGGGCCTAGGCACTGGTACTTTTCAAAAGCTCTTCAAGTGATTTTAATGAGAAGCCCATATTGAGATCTACTATTGTAAGGCCATCAAGAAAACATTAACGGGGGCCTGGCCCAGTGGCGCAATGGTTAAGTTTGCACGTTTCGCTTCTCAGCGGCCTGCGGGTCCGCGGGTTTGGATCCAGGTGTGGACAAGGCACCACATGGCAAGCCATGCTGTGGCAGGTGTCCGACATATAAAGTAGAGGAAGACAGGCACAGATGCTAGCTCAGGGCCAGTCTTCCTCAGCAAAAAGAGGAGGATTGGCAGTAATTAGCTCAAGGCTAATCTCCCTCAAAAAAAAAAAAAAAAAGCCATGAACAGGATTTTAAAAAATGATAACATCCAGTGTTGACAAGGGCATAGGAAATGGATACTCTCACATACTGCTGTGGAGAGCTTAAATTGCTATGAACTTTCTGGAAGGCCATTTGATAATAAATTTCCAACACTTTAAAATTTTGAATACTTTTTTGCCCCCAGCAATTCCATTTCAGGGTCTATGCTAAGGCAATCATCAAGTATTTAGACCAAAACTTGATACTAGAATGTTCCTCAGAGGGTTTCTATGACAGATTAATTGGAAACAATTTAAAAGTTTGGCAACATGGGATTGGTTAAATTAATTTTGATATCAGTTTTCTTTATAATGATATACAACTATTAGAGATGATATAGCAAAAATGCTTAGTGATGAGAAAGTGTTCAAGATATAAAGTGAGAAAAGCAGGTACAGAGTCATATGTATAATGCTAGCACTAAAGAAAAAGTTGGGAAAATACACGAGTATTTAGCTGTATCACTGTTAAATAAAATTGCAGGTACTTTTTAAAGTGTTTTTTGTTTGTCTAAATTCTCTAAAATCTTGACAGTCAGTCTGCATTATTTTCATACAGAAAAGTTAGGCTTTTAACAAGAACATTAGCAAAGGAATGCAGGCATTGTTAGAAGGACAGACGCGGTAACTCATGAGACGTACCTCAAAGGACGGTATGAAAGAGAAGTCCCAACTGGGCTGAATACATGGGTGCTTGATAAACATGCAGAATCTTGGATTCCTCGTTTATCAGAGTCTCCAGGTGGCTCAGCTTTTGGGAATTCCCAGGAGAGTTTAGCCTTAACTGCATCTCAGCGGTCTTAGTTAGCATGCCTTCCCTTTCCTAAGTCTCGTGTCTTCTGAAGTAGTTTCAGAGAATCTCAGGTGACGTGGGTTTATTTTAAGGAGTCCAGGGAAAGTCAGTCTCACATCCTTGCTTCACAAGGATTTGGTTGTGGTTTGGCGCTCAACCATGTCTACACCAGCTGGCCTCATGGGTAACTAGAACGCCATCGAGGGCACAAAGCAGCCAGGGTGGCGGACCCCACCCCTAGAAACAGGTGCCTGGGCTCCCCCTCAGAGTATGTTATAGTCACTCGGCTCAGCTCTGTCCAGGCCACTGCATTCACTTCATCTTTTAAGTCAAGGAACTTCCACTTACTTCTTTCTTCTCTTCCCCATGACTTCCTGTGTCCCAGTTGCTTCCTCTGTCTTCTTTCTCTTCCCCTGTCTTTCTCCTTCTGCTCCTTCTACTGAATCTCTCCTTCAGCCTCCAGTACTGAATGCTGGGCAGTCATCCTGCCAGACCCTGTCATGCACCTCATACCTGTCTAGAAGCATCTGCCTTTGGGTCAGGCGTCCATCCACGGTCCCATCCTCTGGGGTCAGAGTAGTGAGGCTTTTATTACAGAGCATAGACACATTCACTCATTCATTCATAGAAATGCTATTGAGCAATTACTGTGTGCTAGGCACTGTGTCGTCCTCTCAGAAGCAGCTGTAGCTGTGGCAGATCCTCAGAGCGTTTTAGAACTTTCTCTGGTATTTCCTTGTATCCAGATTCAGCATTTAGACATTAGCAGAAGCGGCTTATTGATTCAAGAAGGAAATGGTCACTAAGGAGGGGAGCCACGCTTCTTTCTAGAACTCTCTCCTCCCTCTTCCTTGAGACTTTGCTCTGCTTATCCACTGATTCCTCCTGGGGAGAGGCTGTAAGCTGCTTGCTGTTCATTTCCACAGTGGCCTAGCTCCAACCTGGGAACAAACACTCCTGTCTGTGGTTCCTTCCTTCCAACCCTCCAACACTTCAGTGGTTTGATTGTGGAAGTGATAAGGGATGTGCTCCCTCTCACCTTCCCTGTTTATTATATTTAATATCATAATGCAGAGAAGTTTCAATTGCACATTTCTGCTCTGCAGTCTAGGGTACCTCTAATCCAGTGGAGGGCTGAAGATCTCTTCTTCCCTTGGGGCTGTCAGGGTGTCCACACCAGCTTGAGGGGACTGGTGGCCCAATGAAGGGAGAGGCCAGCTATCTAGAAGAGAGAACTGCATGTGGAAATAGACACCTGGGCCCTCTCTCCATGCGCTGAATCTGTGTAGACCTTAGCAACCCGATTCTTTCTTTGGGGCAGTATACGCTCTTCACATCTCTTCACATCATAGAAGCTGGAGGCTCAGAGAATCAGTGCCTCGTTATCAAATCTTAGCCCACAACTTGTGCTTTTTGTTCTTGAAGCTTGGAATTTTATGACAGCTGGGCTCCTTGCGGCTCAGGGGGAGGAGCCTGTGGAACTCGACCTCCTTCTCTGAATTGGCACTACTTTTGGTTGTGGCCCATGCAGCCTCAGAAAACATCCTTCTACAGAAGCCAAGGCTGAATTCCTTTTGTAGGAAATTAGAACCTGCATGTCCTCTTCTCAGTTCCCTTCTGAGCTCAGGATTGGGAAAGCTCTGGCCCATGCTCAAATTGTTGCTTTCCTAAGAGATGTGCAGCCAGGCACACAGGGAGCTACCAGGACATTCTTCAGAGGGGAGGCTCCAGGAAGCAGGCACAAGAAAACACCTTTCTTTCCCTAGGAAAGGGCAGGTGTTCAGTACAAACGTTAGCATTTGTGTCTTGACAGTTCCAGATTCCATTCGTGGCTTATCCATTTACTACCTAGTGATCTGAAGCACGTTTCTTAACCCATCTGAGCCTCAGTTTCTTCATCTGTTAAATGGAAAGAATAATAATACCTCTCTTGTGGTTGAAGGGATTTTCTGCTACGTTATCTAGCAGATAGTAGACATGTAGTAAATGTTAGCTATTTTATTATACATAGCAATAGTAATTATTATGATTCTTAATACCAATTATCTTTATTAATCCTACTTGTAGTGGGATAATTTGAGAACCTTATCACTGCCTAATTTATTTTATCCAATACCTCAAAATATTCTTTTTGTTTATAGGTTTCTACCTTAGAATGATATATCACTTACTCAATACAGTAATGCTGGCCACTGAATGTAAACTATCTCTAGCTATTCCTTAGTTTTATTTTTTTCCCATAGAACTTAGCACTGGGCGCATTGTAAATTTATGAGTTTATTTATTGATCAGTTGTTTCCCCACACCAGAATGCCAGCTTTAAGGGAAATGACTGTATAACTCTTAGAATGTTACTGGTATGTAGTAAGTTGTTCAATAAATTTGTGTTGAATGAATGAAGGGATAAAAAAGAAAAGAATGAATACATGAATGAATGAATAATGCAAGACCTTAATTTAAGTACCATAGGTAAACAAAGGTAAATTTGACTGGCTTCTTCCCCTAAGGATCTTGAAGTCTAGCAGCAGTCTATGAGAATACATGAAAGACCAGTAGAGGGGAGTAAGTGATGAATGCTGTGATGGAGGGAAGGATAAAGCTGTGTGTAAGGTCAGGAGAGAAAACGGTAACTTTCAACTGGAGGATCCGAGTCTGCTTCATGGAAAAAGGGTCTTTGTGCTGAGATTTGAAGGGGGAGGGGAGCTGTGGACTGGAATGGATAAAGGGCATTTCCGGTGAAGGGACAGCAGGAGCGAAGCCAGGCAAAGGCGACGTGAAGGACACTCATGGGTAGCAAATAAAACACGTCGTTTTTTTTACTAATGCCACCCCACTTCTATGCTCATTTCCACCTTCATCCCCGTTTGAATCATGCATCATTCTTCCTGTAGGCTTAACTGAAATTCCACTTTTTCCATTGAAGCTTTTCATGACCTCTTTGGCCTCTCTGAGGTTTACTTGATATGAATTTTTTATTGTTTTATCATTCATTTGGGGCTCACATTGTATCTGGATTATTGTCACTTATTCTCTTTGTATGTCCTAATATGGGATTGTGTCCTAATATTGTGTGTCCTGCTGTATGTCCTATCAAATTAGACAGCAGACAAGCTCTTTGAAGGGCAGGGGACAGGGACCTCTTCCTGTGAATTCTAGTGTGT